GGACGAGGAAGCTATAAAGTAAGATAATTGGTTAGTCTTAGGTGCTCAAGCTTGGTCAGTCCTGCCAAGTGTTGGATGCAGCTGCAATTGAAGGTGGGGGTGGTTAGCTCATCCTTGAAGATTAGGGGCTACAGACTTTTGGCTGGAGGTCAAAAGCTACTCAGAAGAAGTCTAGGTTTGTTGCTAAGCAATGCTATCTCAAAGACAGGAGTTTTTCTTTTTGCTGAGTGAAGGTCATTGCTTGCTTGCCTTTTTTTCTATCTGTCCTCATAGATAGGGTCACATTTTTCCATTCTCTGGAAAGGTACTAAGGCTTTAGCTTAACCTGAACCTAAAACTCAAAACTATAGGCTTTAGAAGACATACAGGTTACAAAGTTAGTCTAACCCTTTCAGTGCCAGCTCTGAAACTTCATATAGATGAAAGCATGTGGCATATACTGTTTTTGATCGGGCTTCTTCTCTCAGCATGACAGGTTTGCTGAGATATATCCATGCTGTGCCCTGCACGGTGATTTTTTTTTCTCTACTGCACAGTGGGATCATGCTCTCTTCTCTCCCCGCTGTCCCAGTTGCAGGGCACCTGACCTGTTTTGATTTTGCAATCAAACAAGATATTTGTCCCAATCTTGGCACAACTCTGCCCTAATAAAACTGGACTCTGTTACCTTTGAAATTCTGGTTTTATGCTGGGACTTCCACATTTCAAGGGGCTGCCTCAATCTACTCAAAGTCTATCACAGTGAATTCGTGCAACTTAGAAGGTGAAGGGGGATAAAAGTGGTATGCAGAAGAAGATAAGCATGTCTCCTTAGCCATCACACAAAGCAATAAAAGCTACCGGTGGCAAACAGTACCTTGGCCAAGCTTGGCAGCCAGCCTTGGGAAGCGTTGGCAGAGATGCCAATGATCCAAAAACAGGCAGCACATTGATCTCCAGGTGAAAGACCCCATATCCCCCTGAGTTAAACAGAGTTAGACATAGCTAATGCCATTTTGCAGTGTACCACAGTTCTGGGAAAAATAGTAAAGGCCGGATGGGAACTAAAAATTACTCTGAGAAAATCCAGCAGCTAAGTCAGTCACTCCCCTCAAGATTTCTGCGGTCAAGGCTGCCCTAGCTGAGCCAAAAACAAAACAACTTTGTCCTGACCACCCTCATGGGATATCTGACAGGTGGTCCGGCTGAGATAAGAGTCCTGGGAAAAGCAACATATGGCGGCACTAGTCAAGGCCGTCGTAATTGTTATGACCACCCAGTTCCTGGAATTCTGATGTCCCTGCCAACTTGATTCATGTTATGGTTTCATGTAAAAGAGCCAATCAGTTCCCTGTAACTATGCCTCTCGCTTTGCTTCTGTATCAGTGCTTCTGCTCAAAACCTATAAAAAACCCAGCTTTCTGCCCGGAAAGGCGCGTAAAGTCATCTGAGTGACTTTCCGCCCGGGTACCTGTGTATCCAATAAAGCCTCTTGCTATTTGCATCCGAAAGCCTGGACTCGCTGATCTTTGGGGAGGGGGTCTCTCAGACGAAAGATACCCCCTGGGGGTCTTTCACAGGTTTTATAAGGGAGGGCCTCAACAGCTTAATGAGCGGCAACAAAGCAGTAGCCAATGTGCTGATTGTTTCACTGAACCCTTATATTTGATGTAGGTACATTATAATCTCAGCTTCAGAGTCAGCCTTTGAAGGCATGGGAGGTCCTGCATCGAAAGAAGTAGGCAGCTATCATGGTGGCACACACCTTCATTTCCAACTCTTTGGAGGCAGAGGCCAGTGGATCTCTGTAAGTTCAAGGCCAGCCTGGTCGATGTACCTAGTTCTGGCCAGCTAGAGCTACACAGGAAAACCCTGATTTCAAAGGGGGAAAAAAGTATGTAATACCTAGCACATGTTCAAAGGAGCATATTCAAACTAAGCAGTAAGAACGTAAAGTGGAGAAGGGTTGAGGTCAAGCCCAGTGGCATTGTACAATTGACCAGTATTAACAGTGTTTCTGCTTCTCTTCTCATTGGTATTTTGCAAAACCTTTTTAATCCCCAAATCCTCTCTGTTCCTGCTCACTGAACCTGCAAGAGTATGATGTGTGGGGTGTACTTCTCCAGGGACTTACAAACCAGTTGCACAATTGTGGTTTTACAAATTGAGTGATTTAACACTGCTCTTGATAACAAGCTTGCTTTGATATTTTGCATATACAATTACCAACAGCTTCAGCCAAAACCCGTGTAAAAGCAGAAGGATTTCAGGAGGCAACTGATTGGTTTAAAACCATACTTGGAGCTTCAATTAAAAAGATCATTTTCCCGAATGCTGTCACCGTCTCTCTTGCTTCCCAACCCAGAAGACCCTTCTGTGTTCTCTTCCTGTACTATTCCTGGCTGTAACTTCATCAGCCTGTTTAAAGGGGAAGAGGTAGCACTTTTGTGTAACAGTTTCCTTGAGATTCAAACATTCTATCCTTCACAAAGCTCCTGAAGCAGGAAGGTAAACAACTCAAAGCAGCTTCAGGAAGTCCCTGAAGCTAATCAGATTCAGTAGGCCTCTCCCTGCCACGGTGAACAACAAAAGCTGAAAGTCTTCCTCAGATGCAAGAGTCAAGCTGCAAAGAAGATTTGCAGACCAGACAAGGTGCCTGGAAGAAGTAGAAACGAGCTAAGTTGCCTGGAAGAGGTTTAGACCAACTGAGGCACCTGCAAAGGACATTTTTCAATCTGTTGAGCTGCCTCCAATCTGTGACGTGTAGTCCAGGTTCCCAGCTTTTATGAGCAGTCACTCATGATGGGTGGCCTTTGGTGGTGCAGTAGCCTTTTAGACATTTCTGCTCCTGTAAGAATGTCCTGCATTTAACTGGGGTGAAAAAAAATCCATCCCTAAGAAGCTGGATGAGTTATATTTAAGGCTTTAAATGGTACCCAGTGTTAGGAAGAACACTTATGGCATTTTATATGAGTTTATAGGATTGCTACCAATGGCTATTGATAGACAGGGTGGCTCAATGGCAAGAGGGTCAGAGGCTGGAAATCAAGATCTGGCTTGTGAGGCTATTGCTATATTCTCGGCCCTCAGATAGCCCGTCTTCCGTGCCCTTGTCCCTTCATAGTCTCCAGTCATGCTGGATTAGGTCCCATCCAATTGATCTTAGGGGTCCACTCACATAACCTTATTTTAACTTAATTATACGTGATCCAATCCTTTCTAGAAATGTGGGTCTAAGGTATTGGGGGTTGGTTCTTTGATATATAAATTGGGGCATACAGAAATAAATCTGTATAACACTTCTATCTGCCATACAGAGCTATTAGTGAAAACAAGAGAACATTTAGAAAACATCAAGAATGTAGCCGTATCTTACACAAGAGGCAGACTGTCAGATGTTATAGTAGGCCTATCTTCAAACACCCTCCAGAATTAGTTGCATGTATGCACTGTGATGGTTCTAAGGGAGATGAAGAAAGAAACCCCCTTGAAAAACCCAAATCTCAGTGGAAGGCAGAATTTCAAAGGTAACAGAGTCCACTTTTATTTGGATAAAGTTGTGCAAGGATTGTAACTATCTTAATTCCAAAGTTGCAGCAGTCTGGGCAGTTGGCATCGAGGGCAAAAAATAAGGCAAACAAATGTGTCCAATAGGTTTCTATGGTGCCATTATAAAAAAAAAAAAAAAAGGACTAAACAGTTTAAAATAAGTTGTGAATTGAACTTGCCTGTAAAGAAAGATAGTAGTGGTGAGTGTTTTAGAGAGAAGGACATAAAGAGAAGGAAATGGCATAATAGAGACTATCTTCCAACAAGCAGTTGAAAAAAAATCACAGGATGCCTGGGTAGAGTGGGGCACTTCTATAATTCCAAAGGTTGGGATGCTGAAACAGGGTGACTGCCAAATTTAAGGTTGGATTGGTTATGAGTTACAGGGACACCCAATCGCAAGACAACAAAATAATAACTAAAATTTTAATGTCGTTAACTTAACTTAGAAATCTTTTTTAAAGACATACACACACGCACACACACGGAACCCGATAACAGTTAATTGCAGAAAAATGTAAAGTTGACTTTTTTAGTTTGCGGAGGGGAGAAGGGAAAATATATCTGCGTACTTTATAAATATGTCAAAAAATGGTATGAGAACGGTAAGCTTGAATTTAGCTTATCCCACTTGTTTGTAGGAAAAAAAATGTAACATGAAAAGAAATCACAACCATTCAAGCTTTGGTCACTTCTATAATACTCCACAGTGTTCCAAATGTGTGTGTATGGGGTGAGAAGATGTCTAACACAAGAACCGGAGATGTGAATCAGGGGTAGGGCACTTCCATAGCGACTTGATTCCCAGCATCAGAAAATAAAGAGCTATAAAAGTCGGTTCAACCTTGGGCGGGCACGGTACATATACCTTTAAGTACTCGAATTCTGGAGGCAGAGGCAGGTGGGTCTCTGAATGTGAGGCCAACCCGGTCTACATGGAAACTCAAAATAGAAATAAAAACGGGTTCAACCTTGACAATTCTAGGCCCCACCCAAGAGAAAGCACCAGCACCAGGCCTGTAAATGGCAGGAAGGAGCCATCGAAGAGCAGATTCAAGGACCGTGTTGTCGGAATATCCACGGATCATATTTTTTATTATGAGCTCCCCGTCTCGGGTCTGGTCTAACGCCTATAAATAAAGCTGTCAGCCACCCTACCCTGTGGGGATTTTGATATATTGTAAGCTATCACTTTCCGGAGGAGGCTGCTATGGTTAGTGCACAAAACTGGCAAAACAAACAAAGGTTCAGGACCGCCTTGCTCTGCCGCCCGGGGCCTCCGCCCTCCACCAGCTGTCCGGTAGGACGTCCCGCCCCCACCCTACACAGGAGCAGCTGACTGGAGGATGCGGAGAGGGGCACGCAGCGCAGCCAATCAGCGGGAAGCACCTTGCCCTCCCCCGCCTCTGACCTTCGAGCCACGCTACGGGCTAGTTGTCGGCCCAGCGCATCTGCCGCGAGGCTGGAAGCCGGCGGCACCTAGAGCATGTCCTCGCCGGGGGACCCGTGTCCCGCGGCTGGGGAGCAGCCAGGAGCTGGGCTGCCCGTGCAGGCGGCGGGAGGCGCGCTGCTGCTTTGCGGGCTGGCGGTCCTGCTGGGCTGGGTCTGGCTGCGCTGGCAGCGCGCATGCGGCATCCCCCCGGGGCCGGCGCCCCGGCCGCTCGTGGGTAACCTGGGGCACTTGCTGGTGCCGCGCTTCCTGCGGCTGCAGTTCTGGCTGGGCTCGGGCAGCCAGGCGGCCACGGTGGGCCGGCACGTGCACCTGGCCAGGCTGGCCGCTGTCTACGGCAACGTCTTCAGCTTCTTCATCGGCCACCGGCTGGTAGTGGTCCTCAGCGACTTCCACAGCGTCCGCGAGGCGCTGGTGCAGCAAGCCGAAGTGTTCAGTGACCGCCCAAGGATGCCGCTCATCTCTATCTTGACCAAGGAGAAGGGTGAGCGCGCCGCGAGCTCCGGACCTCCCCCGGGGCGGCTGGGGCGGAAGGTGACTACCTGCTCCTGCCCACCTGCTCCCTGCCCTGCACCTGGCACCGGGGACAGGGACCGGAGGCGCGGCTTCTAAGGCGAGGGACAGGGTAGCAAAGTGTGAAAACAGGGGCCACTCTTCTGGAAGCCTTACTTCCTCTGTCCCAGGCGCGGCTTCCTCACTCAGTCTGTGAGCTCAACGTTTCTAAACTTTGGCCGCATTGGAAAAGGGAAGAAAAGTCTTTTCACCCAGTGACTATCAGTTCCAAGAGTCTAAGATAGTTTTCCTTAAGAGAGTCCAGAAACCAAGCTAGGAGCCTGTTGAACTTAATATGTTGGCTTATAAGTCCCGCGAAAATTTTGGCAAGGAATGTGCTCTTCTTTCTGCTGGTGTCTAAAGAACTTGCCTGAGGTTAAATTTTTTTAAAGTTGACTTAATTTTTTTGGGGGGGAGTGGGCAATGGATATTTTAAGATAGCCTATTTCTTACGCGCCAGAGTTTCCGTTCTGTTTCCAAGCCCCATGAGTACCTCCCTGCCAATCCTGTGTTCTGCCTTTTAGACACTCAAGTACAAAACTGAAGCCATCACTTTATGTCATTGTGGATGGCACATGTGCCTCCATTTAGGAGGGTGGCCCCGGGCTTCACAATTTGATATCCCCTCCCTCACCCCATTCCTAACTTTCCTATGGGATCCTCCCCCCACTCCGCAGGGCCTCAGAAAGGCTCTGTAATCCAGGCAGGCAGGGGTAAGCACAGGGCTGATCGCTGGGAGAATTTGAATGCTATATAAAGTGTAGTTAGTTCTTGTTCCTCAGACCACTCCGGCCTCTGTGGAAAACAGAAGATGAATGCGCCACATTGCACTGCATCTTACTCGGCTAGAGGTGGGTTCAAGATGGACATTTGACAGCCACCCTGCAAGACACTTCTAGATTAAGACAGGATTCTTTAGAGTGAAATCTAAACCGAGAATACCCGGCTGATGTGGCCGCTAGTGAAGGAAGAGAAAGAGATGCATCTTTGGCTTGAGCTTGCAGTGTTCTTTCCGTCCTTTGTGCAATTAAAGTGGCAACTTGACCTTGGGGTTACAGAAAACAGACAGTGTTCTGGGTTGTTGTCTAGACCCTGAGACAGGAGAATGGCTTTGGCTTTCTGGCTCCCAGCCTAGCGATGAGCTCCTGATTCGGTAAAAGGAAGGCAATGGAATAATGCAGAGAGGGATTCATGGGGCGCACCGAGGCTCTCCTTTGGGCTCCTCATACCCCTAGTCACACGTTTTATTCACTCCTGTTATCTATACAGAAAAAGTACTTATATTCATACCTCACTTATAGGAATTAGTGGTAAAGCATAGAGAATGAAGCATGAAGAAAATCAAAATCTGGGGCCTGGAGAAAGGGCTCAGTGTCGAAGAGCACTTGCTGTTCTTCTAGAGGACTTGGCTCCAGTTCCCAGGACCCACATGGCAGCTCATAACCACCGTAACTCCAGTACCAGGGGACCCAACAATCTCTTCTGTTCTCCGTAGGCACCCCCCCACACATGGTACACATACATACGTTCAAATAAAACATGTGTAGCCAAAATGAAAATAAATCTTTAAAAAACAGAAATATGTTTTCAAAGTCAACACCTCTGACTTTCTGGTGGAAAGGGATTTCTAAACTAGGATGTCCAGCACAAATCATAATGAAAAAGACCTCGGGGCGGGTGAGGTGCCACACGCCTGTAGTCCCAGCACTTGGAGAGGCAGAGGCAGTTGGATCTCTGTGGGTTTGAAGCCAGCCAGGTCTACAAAGCAAGTCCAGAACAGCCAAGGCTACACAGAGAAACCTGCCTCAAAAAGCAATAAAAAAATAAAATAAAATAAATTTTATTTTTTAAAGGTAGAAAGAAAGAGAAAGAAGCTAGACAGGCACCGTGGCACATACCTATAGTCTTAGCAGTTGGGAGGCTGAGTCAGGAGGATTGTCACAACTTCAAGGCCAGCATAGGCTTCAGAGTAACTCCTTATCTTAAAAAATAAATAAATAAATAAAAGTGTACATGTGGACTGGAGAGATGGCTCAGTGGTTAGGAGCACGCACTGCTCTTTTCGAAGACCTGAGTTCAGATTTCAGCATCCATGTTAGGTGGCTCACCTCTAACTCCAGCTGCAGGGAATACATGATGCCCTCTTCTGGCTCCCACAGGTATCTGCATGAACACGTGGTATCTTTAAATGGTATTATGCTTATCAAATAATACCATTAAAAACTAAAAAAAAAAAAAAATTCACATGAGAGAGGCAGTTAGCTATGCATTTAAAATATATAGGAAGGAAATCTCCACACAGTGAATCTTGGAATAAGAAACCTATCAATGACCTATGTAAAGCTGCTCTGCCCCATGCTGACAATCAGAACCGCTAATGGAAATCACATGAGATACATTTCCGCCCTCTGGTGGCAAAAAATAAAAATCACAAGTATCAAGTGGTGACAACTGTTCATATCCTTGTGGATATACTTTTGCTCCACCCTTCATCTACTTAGGACAGTAATTTGACAGTGCCTATTCATGTGAAGATATCCGTAGTTTATGGCTCATCACTGCTCCCTTACTGATGTCTGTAAAATTTGGGGGAAGTCCATATTCAAGCATGCAAAAGCTTCTCTTTTCCCCTGTTCTGGGGGTTGAGCCCAGGGCTTTTAGCATGCTGGTTATGCACTGTACTACTGAGCTGAACCTCCTCCCTTGAAAGACACCTTATAGAGGGATTTGGAGTATAAAATAACTCGACAACAGAACCCAGTCTTTCTTTAATTTGCAGTTGTATAGTGCACACCAGAAGCTAAGGATTCGGAACATGGCGCTGGTGGTATGAATGTGGCCCATCCCTCACGGGCTCATGCGTTTAAACATTTGGCCCTAGCTTGTGGAGTGTTTTAGGAAGCTGTAGAACCTTTAGGAGGTGAGCCCAGCTGGAGGAAGCTGGTCCCTCGGCCTTAAGTGTGGCTTGGCCAGGATCGAAACTTTCTCTTCCCTGACGAGGGTGTAAGCAAGCAAGCTATTGCTTCTGCTGGCTGCTCACACAGCCGTGTGTGTCCAGCCACCGTGGGCCGTTCGCCCGCAAACCAGAAGCAAAGTGAATCCTTTCTCCCTCATATATAACATCCCATAAAGTATTTGCTCACAATAACTAGAAAAATAATCAGTGCGGTGGGGTGGGGGGGAAGGGAGGTGCTGTGACCTGCACTGCTTTGGAGTTGACCTGACTGGGGCCCCGGGGGAATGAAGAAAGAACAGACACACCTACAGAGAAGCTAGGATCTGGTGGACAGCGCAGACTGATGGGGAGCCACAACCAGCATCCGGAAAACTCACTGCATTTATTTTATGCATCTGAACTGAGGAGGCGGGGTTACTGTTCACGGCTGAGCAAAGGAGGTGCAATCAGCTCATCTTGGTAGGAGGTCTCTGTGGAAGAGCAGTTCCAGGCTATCACATCAGGAAGGGGAATGCTGCCCTGGGTACTGTCGCACACACTGTCAGCATCCACGCGTGGACCAGTGGACGGCTCTGCAGGCTGAGGTGTGGGGCTCCTTAACATGGCAGTGCTCATGTCAGTAACACACGTTTTGCTCAGGACTTCATCTGCTCCCCACGGGAAGGAGAGCTGGCTGAGACGAGAAAAGACATCATGAAAACGAGGAGGATGAAGTGGGTGACAGGATAGAAGAAACATTTGATAACGGTTGGAACATCTAGGTGCGGTTCTGTTGGGGTCAGCGTTGGGAGATGTATGCGTTAGGATGAGATAGGATGCAGCTATTGATGGTCTTTGTACACGGCTCTATCCCAGAGGCTGGAGTTTGAATGGGAAGAATGGTGTGGTCTCTGCTCTTGTGTCAGGCTGCTACTCTGATTATGCTTCTGTTCACGGTGTTTAGAATATGGGTGTTTGGAGGATGGGTGCTTTTTGTTTGAAAGGTTTCCTAAGCCTGAATCTACTGTTTTGAAATATAAGGCCATTTAAGTGAACAGTACTTTGAAGCATCAAAACTCACTGCTTTTCATTTTACCAGAAGTTACCATAAATAACAACTTGAGAGCAAGTTATCCTAATTTAGTCTCAGCTTTTATTGGAAACAAATGTCTCTATAATGAAACTTGACTAGTTTTCTTTATCCGTGTTTAAACTTTGGCCATGAGTCTTGAAAATTCAGAATATACCTCATTGTAGATCCCATTTGCTATTTCCAGGCCTTGCTTTCACCTTCCTGTCTCTATCCTTTGCAGGAATTGTGTTTGCACACTATGGCCCAATATGGAAACAGCAGAGGAAGTTCTCCCATTCGACACTTCGTCATTTCGGTTTGGGAAAGCTCAGCCTGGAGCCCAAAATTATTGAGGAGTTCAAGTATGTGAAAGAGGAAATGCAGAAGCATGGGGACGCCCCCTTCAGCCCCTTCCCGGTCATCAGCAATGCTGTCTCCAACATCATCTGCTCCCTGTGCTTCGGCCAACGCTTCGATTACACCAACAGGGAATTTAAGAAGGTGCTGGATTTCATGGCTCGGGGCTTAGAAATCTGCCTACACGGCCATCTCTTCCTGATCAACGTATGCCCCTGGTTTTACTACCTTCCCTTTGGGCCATTTAAGGAACTACGGCAGATTGAAAGGGACATAACCCGCTTCCTTAAAAACATCGTTAAAGAGCATCAGGAGTCTCTGGATGCCAGCAACCCCCAGGACTTCATCGACATGTACCTTCTGCACGCGGAGGAAGAGAGGAAAGCCAGCAACAGCAGCACCAGCTTCGATGAGGATTACCTCTTCTACATCATTGGGGACCTCTTCGTCGCTGGCACTGACACCACAACCAACTCCTTGCTTTGGTGCCTGCTGTACATGTCCGTGAACCCCGATGTGCAAAGTAATTGATAGATTTGTTCTTTCCTCGGGTAGAGGCGGGTGGCAGCCTCTGGGATCTGCTGGCTCCAGGCCCTCAAGTCTCCAGGTTGGAAAACAAAACCAACACCTGCATTTTATAGGGAGCTTAAGACGTGAACAGTGAAGCCTCAGGTTTCTAGATGGTCTAGTGCCGTAGCTTGCCCACCCCTGCTTTAGTCTCTGTCTTCCGGTTCCCTGTGAAACCTGTGAAAGTGAAGGAGCGTTAGAGAAGTAGGGTGTTTTATAGCTCAGGGAGTCATCACGTTCATCTAGACTTACTCATCTTGTTTTGGAAATGGAGAACCCAACCCCGAAAGAGTCAGTGAAGGTCACAGCCAGCCGGTAGTGCCACACTAGCCCAGTGGACAGCGGGTGGCGGGCGGTGGCAGTAAATATTGGTTGCATGGGGAGTGTGGTGTATTGGTTTCCACGTCAGTTCTAAGCGCTCACTACTAAATCAGTCACTTAAACGAACCTGAATTTGCTCTTAAGTCAGGAGCATGGCCTGTGCTTCCCTGGGCTAAAGGTGGGGTGCTGGCCGGGCTGTGTTGCTCTCTGGAGGCCCCAGAGGAAAATTCCTTTCCTTGCCATCTCCAGCTTCTTCAGCTTGTGGTCCTCTCCCCTATCTTCAGAGCCAGAGAAGCCACAGCACTCTGACATGCTTCCTCAGTCACATCCCCCCTGCCTAAAGTCAGCTGGTCTGATTTTAACACCCATATTACCTAGTAATGGGTCCGTGTCCTGAGAATACGTCACTCGATGATGCCATCATTATGCAAGCATCACAGAGTACATGTTAACTACCCACGCTGGCTTGTGTGTCCTGTGATTGACTAAAGTGTTATCCTGCAACATCAAACCGTACTTAGATAGATGGGACTGCACCTCAGGATGTATTTCCCCATATTTAGTAGAGTCCCTGCTGCCAAGTGCTTGTCAGTTGGATGTGATTTGACAGTATCCCCCAAAGGTTTGGTCCTTGGTGGTGTCATATTGAGGCCACGGAACCGTTGAGATATCTATAGCAAGGTAATTAGTCATAGGCGTTTGAGAAAGCTTAGTCTGGAGACCAGCCTTTTTGAGGAGTTCGAGTGTGTGATGGGAGAAGTATAAAGGCATGACTTTTTCACACCATTTTTACATCCTCAGACACGTTAATGTAGCCCTTACGGGACCCTTGTTAGTTCCCTAAGAATGAGTTAGTATGAAAGGGGGAGACTTGGCCCCTGGTTCCCTCTGGATTCCTATTTGCCATATGACCTCTCCCTCTCACTTGCTCTCATCATGTTATCCTCCAAGGTATGGTGTAATCGAAGAGGGGCTTTCGAAAATGTGAGTTAAGCTTTTCTTTATAAAGCACACAGCTTCAAGTGTTCTGTTACAGCGACTGAAAGCAGACGAAGACACTGTAAGGAGTCACGTTTACAAAGCACCAGAGCGTGGAGTCGTGAACTGCTTGAAGGGTCTATTTTCTTTTTCTCACCACAGATGTCACTGTGGCTATTTTAACTAGCTAGTTCTAAGCAACAGATTAACCCCAAAAATTAGTTGCTTAAAATAACAGCTTTATAAAGTTTTATAAAGTTTTTATAAAGTTTCTGAGTATCAAGAATCCAGGTTGGTGAGAGGTACATGTATATAAACTCAGTGTTAACCAGCTTCTCAATGCTGTAACAAAGTGTGACTGATAACTGACAAGAGAGAAGCATTTTGGCTCATGGCTTCAATCCATGGCCAGTTGGCACTCTTGCAGTGGGGCCTATGGTAAGGCAAGGCGTTGCAGTGGTGAGTTTCCTCAGGGCAGAAAAAAAGAGAAGGAAGGAGGAGGTGCCAGGGCAGAGCCATTCTCTCCATGGGCATACCCACTGACCTCAATCCTTTTGCAAGGAACTGCCTCATAATGACACTCTGTAGGGAACAAACCTGCAGCCACAGGCTTTTGAGGGATGTTCTCAACTAGCAGGTGCAAAGGCAGTGTCCGTTGGGTTTTATTTGGACTTCCCCATGGTGTCACAGCTTAGAGAGTCACATGAGGGTTAGTGTTGGTGCCCTAGGCCCACAGTGCTATTTCTTTTGCCCAGTCTATTCTGTCATCCTCCAAAGCCCGGGTGTGGCAGAGCCTCACCCCCAGTGACTCGTTGTCTCGACCTGAATCAGGCTACCATGCCAACTGATTCCTTGGTAGGTACAGTTTGCGTAACATTGCTGACTTAACTCTCCCAGGCTTATCTGTGGTTTATTCTTTCCTTTTTGCATAGAGAAGGTTCATGAAGAAATTGAAAGGGTCATTGGTCGTGACCGAGTACCTTCCCTCACAGACAAGGCCCACATGCCATACACAGAAGCCACCATCATGGAGGTGCAGAGGCTATCCATGGTGGTACCACTCGCCATTCCTCATATGACCTCGGAGAAAACAGGCAAGTCTGGAGCCTGCATGCCCCTGAGGGAGTCTCCTGAGTGTGGAGAGGGGGTCTGGGGATTGTTTCCACCTTAACTGACATCATTTGTTCAGGCACTGTAGTCACTGCCGGTAGCCCCTGGCCTCCAGTGCATGCACACTTAACTAGCAACACAGATGATGAAGAAACTCTGGAGTTGACAGTGACCCGTCTAGTCTTCCCGTGGCTGTCAGAAACGCCCTCTACATGTGGAATTACGCATTTTAGCCAAAAATTAGCCCCCTTGGGTTTTTAAAATTCTGCAACCCAAGTGTAATTATTTCAAAGTTGAATAATTAATAATGGTCCAGCCTGATTCTAGGGTCACCAACTTTAACCTACACCGGCAGAGAAATACGTCCACGTGGTGGGGTTCAGAATGTCTTTACCACTCCCTTTATAGGGCAAGGTGCCACACACCTGTAATCCCAGCACTCAGGAGACTGAAGCAGGAGAATCGTGGCTTCAGGGACAACTCTGAGAGAAACAAAGAAAGAGAATGAGAGGCTGATGGAGAGGGCAAGGTTAAGGCTTCTAGAGACAGCCCAGACTGCAAATTAGATCCTCCAGGGAAGAGCCAAGCACCTGTGAGATACTGGCTAGCCTGTCAGCTGGTAGTAGTGGGAGTTGAGTTCCCTGAAGCTCTCTTACCTTTGTCCTCCCCATCATACTATTGTGTAGGCAGAAAAGCCTGTAATCTCCTCCATTCTGTGCGGAAATAGTTTTATGTCAACTTGACATAGAACTAAAAGCTGAAGTCATCTGAGGGGAGGGAACTTGAATTAAGAAAATGCCTCCATAAGATTGGGCGTAGGCAAGCCTGTAGGACTGGTTCTCAACCTTTCCTAATGCTGTGACCCTTAAATATAGTTCCTCATGTTTTGGTGACCCCTAACCATAATGTATATATTGCTACTTTGTAACTAATTTTTCTACTACTAGGAATCATAATGTAAATGTCTGATATTTTTGATGGTCTTGGGCGACCCCCATGGAAGGGGCACCTGACTCCCAAAGGGGTCTCAACCCACAGGTTGAGAAAGATTGCTACAAGGCATTTTTCTTAATTAGTTTCTGATGGGGGAGGGCCTAGCCGTTGTGGGTGGTTCCATCCTTGGGCTGATGGTCCTGGGTTCTATTAGAAAGCAGGCTCACCAAACCATGTTGAGCAAGCCAGTAAGCAGCACCCCTCCATGGCTCTGCGTGAGCTCCTGCCTCCAGGTTCCTGCTCTGTTTGAGTTCAGGTCCTGACTTCCCTCAGTGATGAACATGGAAGTGTAAGCCAAATATACCCTTCCCTCCCAACTTGCTTAAGTCATGCTGTTTGAGCACAGCAATAGTAACCCTATCCAAGACACATTCTGTGTAAATTTTAAGGTATACATTTTGGGGAAAGTTTACCTGGAATGTCCTGTTTCTGTTTGAGTGTTTTCTTGATTGTAAGTCTTAATGGCCTAACTTTTAGCTCATTGTTTTAACACCTAGCCCAGTTCCTCCTGTCTCAGACTGGGTCTGGGGTGGAGCAGCGGAAAACTGCTGGTTGATACAATCTTATCCTTCTCCTCAGGAACCTCAGAGTTTGGCCTCAGCCAACTACAGTGGGTAAATATTTTAAAACAGTAAAGAGAACTATTAGTGAAAGCGTGGCACTGACTTTATTCTTGCTTGTTGTCTGCAGTCCTCCAAGGATACACTATTCCTAAAGGCACGATTGTTCTACCCAACCTGTGGGCAATACACAGAGACCCAGCCATCTGGGAGAAGCCAGATGACTTCTGTCCTAACCGATTCCTGGATGAGCAGGGGCGGCTTTTGAAAAGAGAAACATTTATTCCTTTCGGGATCGGTCAGTTAAACCTTGGTTTATAATTTTTTTTTAACTTCATCATTATTTTGTGTGTGTGTCTGTGTACACACACGCATATTTGAGATGTGGTTGTGGGAGTGTAGGTATAGAGATCAGAAGGCAACTTGGGGGAGTCAGTTCTTAGCTACTGAGTTGCCTTCCTGACCCAGCCTTTTTTCTTTTTCTTCAAAAAATAAAAACAGGTGGAGCTGTGGACAGAGGTTACTCAGTAGTGCTGTGTTCTGTTTCTGTGCACGTTCGAGAAAGAAGAAAGAAGCAGGGAGGGAGCTGGGCCTAATCTTTATAACTAGGAATCTTCCCTTCCTGGTTGCTTAGGCTCTTTGGGGTCCGAAAAGCGGGGAGGTTAGGAACTATTAGAGTTACAAACAACTTTTTTTTTTAAATTACAGTTTATATACTTATTTATTTTATGTGTGCATTTGTGGTGGGGAGGGAGACAGTTGCCTCAGCATGTGTGTGTAGCTCAGGAACAACTCACAGGAAGCAGTCAGCTCTCCACCATGTGGGACCCAGGGATTGAACTCAGGTTGTCAGGTCTAAGCAAGAGTCTCTACCATGTTGGAGGTCTGAGAACAGCACCCCTGATCTGCTAGGCAGGGGGTGAGGGCTTTTCTCTCCTCAGGTCTTTCTTTAGGTTCCTAGATTAAGGCTCTCAAGGCTCTTTCTGTGGGAACAGAAAGTTCCAGAAACTTTGATCTCACTTTCTTCCAGGTCACAGGGAGGGTGAGGTAAGGAGAAAGGCAAGAGGCAGGGTGGCTGCCCTTCCAGATCCATCCCTAGTTCCTGTCCCTGTGACTAGGAGGTCAAAGGGTGAACCAGCTGTGTGGACAGATAAACTGAAGGAGACTGTGTTATCCACAGACTCCAGTTAGACACTTGCTACAAAACAATTGTATCATAACTGTTCCTCCTTCTCTGGTCTCACTTTTAGGGAAGCGGGTGTGTATGGGAGAGCAGCTGGCAAAGATGGAGCTATTCCTGATGTTCGTGAGCTTGATGCAGAGCTTCACCTTTGCTCTACCTGAGGGATCCGAGAAGCCCATCATGACTGGAAGATTTGGTCTAACATTAGCCCCACACCCATTTAATGTAACCGTCTCAAAGAGATGAAGACACCACTGAGAAGAGAGGAGGGGACAGCGGCCAAATCCGTGTCCTACCTAGACAGTCTTCCTGCTGCTCTGGAGCATGGTCCCAGCAACTCAACACAGGAGAGGCTCCAGAGGAGAGACCAAGAGGGAGAGGGTGTCACACCACCGAGGCCTCTTCAGCAGGACTCTGCAGAGCTGGGGATGCCCACAGGAAAGTATGGATGCTAGATTTAGTTGTGTAGATTCCATCGGGAGGCAGACCTTCTCATCTGTCAGCCTCTGTCATCACATCCTAAAGTGAGGGTAGCGAGATTTCTCTCTCCTCACTTCTGAGGAGGACTGAACGTTTCCTGGCATCTCTGCTGTTAGCAAATGCTGGGCAATTCAGGAGTAGGTCTGCCTTGAGATCTTTCAAGGTCCTAGACAACAAGGAAGTGTGTTCAACATGGACACTTCGTTAGAAAGGGATGCAGACCTGAGTTATACTGAGGCAGAGGTTTTTTCATTTTATTTTATTTTTTAGTATAGATTCAGTGTCAGTTTCTTTGGGCATGTCTTGTAAGTATCTTTTTTTTTTTTTGTTTAGGGCTGTCTTCTTTACTTTTTATAGAGCTAAGATGAATTGTCCCCTTGCCCAGTGTGTTGAGGAAAAGAAAAACAGCCTCTTGAGGTTATTGTCCACATGAGCACTGAGCCTGGCGCACAGCCCAGCTCCGCCCCGCTTAACCGAGTCCAGAGGCCCCGCTCTGCCTGGAATTGGCCCTGGATCCCGGGCTGGGGAATTTGATAATGGAATCGTAGAGCTGGTCAAGAAGAGATTTCTCATTCAGATGACTCTGGGCCCTCCTCTCGTGTTGCATCACCAGCCACAGTTTGACTGACTTGAACACTCTCCAAAACAAGAAGCCATTTCTTGACAGGAGGACCCTCTAATGGCTCCTTCAGGGGCCTCGTGGCAGTCTGGGAATGTACTTGCCGTAATGGTTGACTACTGTTGGCCTTCTGCTGCCAGGGCTGAGGATGATGGGTAGCAAAGCCATCTCTCATAGTCAACAGTGTACATCTCAGTGTGCTTGTGTCTGGCTCCTTGCTCCCATCCCCCATGGTACTGGGAAGGGACCATGGTGACGCTGAGCCTTTCTTAGGGAGGCTCTGTACTGAATGCTTTGCTTGACTGTATACGGCATCCTCACACTAAGGGAGCTGAGGCTTTGCAATGCCAAGGCCCATAATTAAAAAGTGCCATCACGGGGTCTCCAAGCTACTCTACTTTGTGACTGGAAAGCACTTTCTGAGCCTCTCTAAGTATTGCGCCCACATGGTCCTGAAGCCTCGGTTGCCTGTGTTCCTCTTCATCCCAGTTGACTCCTCGGGTCAGGCTTCACACCGCTGCCTCCTCACCATGCCTTATTCTTGGTAGATGCCCAGGCAACTTGGGAGTGAGTTAGGGAAGGTGATTAAGGGGAAAAGCCTACATGTTTATTACCGTCAGTTCAGGATAGTTTTAAAATACAGTATGATTTTCCCTACCTGTTTAAGCCAGTGTTTAAAAATGTGCTAGACTATTGTTTGTCATGTGAAGTAACCATGTTAGGGAAATTTAGAGTGGTGCCTTAACTGCCAAAAACATAGCACACAAAGACCTAATATGAGAAAAATAAAGATCTAATATGAGGAAAAAGGAAAATGCGAACTATTGTATAACCAAGTATTGATGAATTTTTTGATCCTACATTCTTCATATTTATCCACCATGCTGCTTTCCTTTTCATAAATTATAAGCACTTTCAAAGCAGACGAGTGAAATACAGGCTAATCTTTAGGTATCCTGAAGATTGTTTCTGAGGCCTGCATACTGAATGTGTGGAGACTGAGGCAGTACTCCTTGTTCAGGTGGTGCCTGAATGCATCATCCTGCTCCGTAAGCAGCATAGTTTAACTGGACCTGAAGTTCCCGGGATTTTTTTAAGCCTCGGCATTTGCAAGCTCCTTACTCCTTGACTCCCACCTCGGTTTCTGGAACCCCTAACCAAAGACTTCACATCGTACTTGAAAAGGACTTCTGCCGGACATGAGATGACGTCAGAATCCCAAGTTTATCCAACAGTATAATACCGTGCCTCAAGCTACTGCACTTTGAAGACCCTTTAACATGCCCCGATACAAAGGGCCTGTGCTTTTCCTGAACCTCCTGCTATTTTACCATGTTGCACTTCATCTGAAACGTGAACAATTTTCTAAGTCTAACGAGGTCTAGACCTCAACTTTGATGGAGCTTTTGGTACTCTTATTAAACCTTTTATTTAAAGAAGATGGTGTTAAATCCGTTTGTGTTTGTTTTTAGTTGCTTAGAAGTTTGCTGTTTTTACCAAATTTTAGTCAAAATGAAAGAGGAGACAGGAGAGAGGGTTCCACTATATAGTTAGTCCAGGCATGACTTTCAGACAGGGTAACTTTTTAAAATATGCCCTCGGAGTAGATTCACACTCAGAGGACCTGGTACAGAGAGATGCCCAAGCAAGCCAGATTTTCTTATAATTTATTTTGTGTGTGTGAATGTTTTGCCTGAATATACATTTGTGTACTGTATGCATGCATAGTGTCACAGAGGCCAGAAGAGGGTCTACCCCTAGGACTGGAGTTACAGGTGGTTGTGAGCTGGTCACGTGGGTGCTGGGAATTGAACCCGAGTCTCTTATAAGAACAAGGGGCCTCTTAACTGGTTTTCTTCTATCTCGCCACAAACCCCTGCACAGATAAGGATGCCTCTTGTGTAAATCTCTTGTGGCAAGTCATTAAGTGCCTGCCCCTAGAGGTTAGCTGGGGACATCACCTCAAGATTATTGATTATTGTTGATTATTTGAGACAGTGTGTTTGGGCGTCTGCAGTGCTGCCCGGTGCATTCTCTGAAGCTCCCTTATCTGTTTGAAGACTAGAGCTAGAAAAAAAAAAAAAAAAGAAGAGCATTTGCCTTCAGTTCTATTGCTGAAATGCTGTTAACCAAGGAAGATGGAGCTCATGTGTGAGGGCTGACGCGAAAGAAACGAAACACTTCTGTGGAGCCTGGAGACAGTGTTCCAGCACACTGTCTGTCTCTCTCCTTGAAGTCATGTGCTGCTCAAGATGCTTCCAGCCCCATCTCCCTCTCTTTGGCAAATATATGTACCCCTCTGTTGGTTTTTTGTTGTTGTTTTGTGTGTTTTTTGTACCAGTCTTCCTATGATGCCCCTTTCTGGTCCTTCCTCCCTCAGCAAATGGAGCTTTAAATACTGGAAGCATCGTTTTTTGACAATGGATGAGCTAGTTCCCCCCCCCCCCCGCCCCAGCTTTTCTAGAGCCACTCTTCCTCCTGTGGGTAACGCTTGAGGACCAATTCCAGCTCCTGTTAAAACTGAATTTCCAAGAACTCCCAAACCTCATTTGCAGCTTATTTCCTCCAGAGCCTTTCCAGTGTCTTTATGTTGTTGAACTTCGTGTCTCTCAGCTCCCCTCCTGCCTCCCCACCTCCCACCTCTCTTGTCTCTCCCCCTCCCTTCTCCCTCATCTTTTTCCCCACCTCCCACTTCCCATCTCCCCCTCCTCCCATCTTCCCCCATCTCTCTCCCCTTCTCCTACTCTCCCTCTCATCTCCCCCACCTCCGTTCTCTTTTATCTCTCATTTCTATGTCCCAGCTTCCCCCTTCCACTTCCTGTCGCCCCCACCTGCCACATCCCACTTTCCATCTCCCTTCCCCTTTCCATCTCTCCCACCTCTGACCCACCGAATACAAAGGGCAGGCTATGCCTTGTGGTGGAGCAGGTGCCTCATTCTATGCAAGTGCTGGGTGAACCAGCTGAGCAAATGGAGAGTGAAGTGAGTCTGTGGCAAGGCAATGGTGTGACCCTCTAGGCAATCAAGTGGGCGAACCTTACACTGAGGGATGTCTCCCACTGACTGGGGCTGCAACCCCTGGGTAGACATCTCAGCCGCAGAAATTCAATTGTTTGGCCCCCTCAGGTCTGCTTTAGCTTTGTTATGTTGTTAAGACGGGTATTTGTTCAGTAAATGATTCATTAGCTGCCTTAGTCACTGTAGTATTGCTGTGAAGAGATACCATGACCAAGTCAACTCTTGTAAAAGAAAGCATTTATTGGGGCTTGCTTACAGTTTCAGAGGTTTAGTCCATTTTCATCATGGAGAAGTTAGCGGAGAGCTACATTTTGATCCACAGGCCAAAAGACACTGGGCCTGGCATGGACTTTTGAAACCTCAAAGCCCATCCCCAATAACACACTTCCTCCAACAAGCCCACAGCCCCTAATCTTCCCAGTCCTTTCAAACAGTGCCTCTTCCATTCAAATACATGAGTCTATGGAGACTGTTCTTACTCAAACCACCACATTACCTAAGTGGTTATTTTGTGGTTTTTGTTTTTTGAGACAATCTCACGGTATAGCCAAGGCTGGGTTGGAATTCACTGTGTAGTTCAGGCTAGCCTTGAACTCACGGCAGTCCCCCTGCCTCAGCCTCCTGAGTGTTTCACGACATGCCTGCTAAAATGGTAAATCCCACTGAGGACTTACTCAGTGTTCACTAAGGCTCATGCAGCAAGGCAGGATGATCCCCAAGCTTCCGCTCATGCAGTCCGGGGTGTCACGCCCAGATTCCTCTGCAGATGGCACTGTTTTGGGGACTGCCCAGGTGTTTTATACCAGTCACGTCAACGCCAGCATTGAACTTATAGGTGCTCATCGTAATTCTCACACTCATTTTCCAGTGTTTTGAAATCTCTGAGGCGTGGTTTGCCCCCTTCCCAGGAGCAGAGTCCAGGGAAACAGAACTTCGGATTTTCAAGGAGCCAGGCATGTCTCTTGGAGCCAGGGGACCACTGTCCTGACACTGTCCCCTCGGCCCCAGAGTACTCATAAGAGGTTCATGAGACAAGAGACAAGCTTTTCTCTAGGAAAACATTTGTATTTATTTACATACAACCTATACCTGGCTTAAATGTCACAAAACCTGTCAAACTCATATTGCCAATTATCAAACCAAAAATGTCAGAATCAGAGCTCCAGAAGTCACCCTGCTGCCAGGACACACCAAAACAGTATCTTCCCAAGGCTCAACTGAGCAGATTCTTTTGGACTTAGCAGCAAGCACCTTTACCCACTGAGCCATCTTACTGACCTGCTAGCGACCAGATCTTGAGTAGCAATCTGTCTCCTTAGGAAGAATAGAACAGGGACCTCCTGTCTGAGGGTGAGCTTTAACTTGGGCTCCTCTTTCCAAGGTTCCCAGCATTAGAAAAGTCATCACAGATGATTTCCTCTGCAAAAAAAATCCTCTTAGCTCTTCTTAATTTCTGCTTCATTTTAAAGCCGCGTACCAGGAATAATGTTATTGGCTGAACAGCCTCAGGAGAAATAACAATGAAAATAATCATAAGCCACTGAATAATGTAGCTCGAGAAATATTCACATCAGGCAGTAAATCAAAATGGCCTGTAGCCACACCCTCTGAGATTTTAAAGAGTGGCGTCTCGGGGGTGGTTCAGGTACCTGTGTGTGGCCATGTGAGGCCAAAGCAGGGTGTCAGATCTCCTCCTCCATAGTGCTCTATTCCCAGTTTTCAACCTGTGAGTTGTGACACCTTCGGGTGTCACAGGGGTCACCTAGGACCATTGTAAAACACAGCCTTAACAGTAGCAAAATCACATTATGAAGTAGTAACACAAGTAATTTTATGGTTGGGGGTCACCACAACATGAGGAACTGTGTTAAAGGGTCACAGCATTAGGAAGGTTGACAATTACTGAGCAAGACGCTCAATGTTAGTGCAATGAAAAAGTCATCATAGACAGAGACTTGATCTCATCCATCCACAGAGAGAGGCTTGATCTAGGCGTTGGAGCCGCAGAAAAGACATCAAAAGTCTATGACTTACGGAGGAGACCCTCCCGCTTCAAGCCAGGCACCGTGAATAAGATGGATAAAATATGTACAGTGTGCTAAGGATAGGGTAAAGGAAAAGAAATCTGGAAAGGAGAATGAAAAAAATGCCAGGAAGAGATAAAGAAAGCCATCTTGGAAGGTGACTTTGTGGGAAAACAAAAAAACAAAAAAACAGAGTAAGAGAAGGGTGAGTCCGGGGGACTTTTAGGAAGAGAGACCCAGACGGAGGCCTCCCAAGTAAAGAGCAGCTGGGAGTCAGCCCGCAGGGGCCTGCACTGAAGGAACTTGGCAGCAAGGGGGCAGTGTGGGAGAGAGAGCCAATCAGGCTGGCTGCTACCTTAGGGAGGTGCAGCCCCAGCAGGGTTGTGTGCAGAAAAAGGACCTGGGCCAGCCCGCAGTTTATGTGGCTGATTTTTACCCAAGGCAAAGTCAAAAATAAAAATATCCACACACACAAAAATCATGTCAGGAACCCAAACTTAGATACAGCTGTGTGAGTAAGACAGTGTGGTGATGGCTCGGAGAAAAAGAGCGATTCATAAACCCATGAGGTGTGACAAAGGGACACTGCCACTGCGAAGTAAGCAGTCAGTCTTGTGAACAGCTCTCTGCAACCTTGGGATAGTGTGGTAGGCAGAGCCCAGGATGGATGGCCCAATGGCGGTTTAAGCAGCTCCCTCCCACACCCATCAATATGAAGCAATGCAAACAACTAGGCTGCTGTGGAAATGACAGTGTTGAACTTTTGAAGCCAGGTCACAAAAACACTGTGGCTTCTGCCTTTTGTTCCCCCAGGACCACTTCCAACAAGGTAAGCTAGCTGGCATGCTGTGAGAGAGGAACTGAAGGCAACACCTGACCCCCAGTTCACTAAACACACAAAAAAAGAATCCGTAAAGGACATTGTTGATTTAACTAAGTAAGTGGGAGAGCGCGTACTAGATTAGAAAGGAATGCATCAAATTTAAGTTTGTAAACGTTGATGACTGTAATGTGGTTCCATAGCAAAACTATGGTATTTGTAAGACAGATCCATTAAAAAAAAAAAAAAAGGCGTCATTGTGCATTACTCATCCTCAAATAGTCCAGAAAGTCTGTGACTACACACAGATCATAGGTGAAGGATGACAACTAGATGTCACATAGCTGTAATCCCAGCCCTTGGGAGGCTGAAACGGAAGCATTCCGAGTTCAAGGCTGAGCTGAATCACAATGAGAGAAGCAAAACAACGCAAGAAACCCTTAATACTGGTGCATGTGAATTAAGGGTATGTATGCCTGTGTGTGCGAGCGCCCTCCATTCTTAATTCCTGGAACTTGCCTGTACATTCGCCGCTATTTACAAGTCAGTAAATAACTGAGCAACCAAGCGCCTGACT